CCTCGCCATAACTGAAGCCAACAATCACATACATTTGAATACATATTTGCAATTAATGTACAAATTTCAGGTCTTTCAATAAATATTCCAGAATTAGGAAAATTAACAATATTCTCGCATCCACTAATATCGATATGTCTTAATGTTGGTGTATGTTCTAAAAGTAAATTCAAAGATTGTACTCCTATTTTTCTATTTCCTCTGAGTACTAATTTCGAAAGATTTGATACACGCGATAATATATTTTTAATATCAATATCTAATAATTCGCAAAAAGTAAGTTCTAAAGATTCTAAATTTATAAATGAAATATTTGTTTCATTAAAAATATTTTTTACCACATTGAATTCGCTAGAAATAGTGTTCGATAAATTTAAATTAAGCAATTGTCTTTGTAAAGTAATATAGAATTTATCTTTATTGATACTATTCCAAGAAATATCTAAATTCGCTAAACTAAAGTTGTTTGAAAGAAATTGAAAATTATGCAATTGACAATATCGTAAATTTAATGTCCGAAGTTGCGTCAAAGGAGTAAAAAGTTTGCACAAGATTTCTTGATTACATGGCCCAAGTGGATTATAACTAAGGTCTAAAAACTTAAGTTTTAAAGGTAATTTTTCTAATTTACTTAAACATTTAGAATCTATATCACATCCTTGAAGACATAATTCTTGCAAACTTGACAATCTTAAAATACAATTATTCAGAACTTCTCCGATTTCATGTAGTTCACCACCAGATAAATCTAATATCTGAACATTCTTCTGATATTCCAAAGTTTTTAATAAAGATATAAGTTCCTCCTTTTTAATATTTTCTTGTTTCAAGCGTAAAATGAATGTGTTTTCGCATGATTTCAAACATTTTAATATACATTCTCGAATATCTAAAAATATTGAAGACTTAGTATGAATTAAAATTACAAATGTATTATTTAAAGACTGCTTACCTATATTAAAATTTTTACATATCGTTTTATATCGTTCAATAATAGAAGGAGTTTCTAAATGAATTATTTCGCATATCAAATTTTTAACAACATCTCCTTCATTTAATATTGTGAACACGTTATTGCAATTAATTACAATACCATTCATAGTTTTTAATTCTAACTTTACTCTACATCCACTATCATTATAAAATTTAGTTTCAATATCAGTTACAATTTCTTCTATCAATGGTCTAATTGTATTTGAAAATTCTATTTGTATTTTAAATATTTTTCCATCCACAGAGATATTTAAAATAACTGATTTCATAGTATCGATTTCTCCTAATTCAAATCCTGTGTTAGTTGGAATTAAAGATGAAGAACTATGAGAAGTAGAATTTTTAGTAAATCCAATTGATAACAAAGATATTTGCTGATTTTTCTTTTGAATTTTATTTTCACTAAAGGTTTGTATTGTTTCAGTATCATAATCATTACTATCCTCTTGTATCATATTATATTCATTATCTTTTATTATGAGATCATTTATTTTCGATCGTTTTAAATTTTTTTCATCATCGATGTCTTCATTACTTGATTTTCTTTTTATTATCGAAGAAAAATTTTCATCAGAGAATTTTTTGTTACTAGCACTTTCATTCATATCATCTTCTAACCAATTATCTAAAAGGATCTCCTCACTATTCAAAAGAGGATTCATATTTTTTTTCATAGATGACAAAGATGTTCCAATTGGATCAATTCTATGTTTCAAACTAGCTATAGTTCTTTTATAATCTTCACCTGCAGAAATTTTTTTTACAATTACAGCTTTATCTGTGATATGAGTTCTTGAATTACATGGAGATTCATGAATGCGTTTCGAAATTTTTTTTACGCTTATCGGTATCATAACAGATAATATTTTATGTATTTCATCATAATCTCTTTGATCTTCAGGAGATAAAAAATCAACGCGATCCTTCCATTGTTCTAAACAATCTAATACAGTATCATCTTCATTCGTTTTAAGAATTACATTTGCTCCATGTTCAATTAGAAGCTTCATCATGGTAAAATTGCCACAGGAAGCTGCATCATGAAGAGGAGTAACACCCTGACACATTAAACTTCCAGGATCATTTACATCTGCACCATATTTCAATAATAATTTAGCAATTTCTACATGACCATGATTAGCAGCTTCATGAAGAGGAGTCCAACCAAAATGATCTCTAACATTTATTAAATGACCAGATTCTAATAATTTTTCTACAATTTCAATATTACCATTAATACAAGCCACATGAAGTTGTGTTTCTCCTTTTTCATTTCTTTTTATTGCAATTGATTTTTTTCTGGTCCGTTTTTTATTTTTTATATTTTCTTTAATTTTCAATTCTGCTTCGACATCAGACAAATCTTCTAAACAAATATCTTCGCCGATATGATTTTCTTCTGATTCGCTTTCACTATCTATATTGCTACTTAATTTCTCTAACATATCTAATTTTATTTTAAGTGCTTCTATTTCTTCAGTTTTACTAGAATTGTTTAAATAATTTAAATGTTCTTTTAAAACACTAGCTTCTAAAGAAACATCATTACAAACTTTTGCATTTTTCAAAGCTAAATTATAAACTTCTTGAATCTTTTCATCATTTGCTTTAACAGCTATCAATAGATCTGCTAAAAATAAAGCAGATCTACATATTTCACGTGGATCTGTACATAATTCTAATTCTCTATGAGCAAAATCCAGTGCTTCATTATATTGTCTAATATCTTTTAGAGTTTGTGCTAAACTTAATAAAGCTGCTCCTCTACGATCACTTTTAATCTCTTCTGCGCACACGAGCATTTTTCTATAATATTTGATGGCTTTTTCAAAACACTGTACAGCTACTGCTGCATCTCCTAATGTTTCATATAATTTCAACTTACTACTCATATTTTCTTCTGTACATAAAGCTTCTTCACTTGCTTGTAATGTTACAACTATAAACAAATTATTTTTTAACATTATATATATATATATATCTTAGTTTTTATAATTTATTAAAAAAATTTATTAAAAAATTCATATTTAAAATCAAAAATACCTATCCTAAGACATTTTTCTATTTGATTTTTAAAATCTTGCGGTAAATTATTCATAACATAAAGAGACACCAATATTTTTCGAGCTTCAGACCATCTTTCTATTTTTAAAAGTAATTCTGCTTGAAAAAATCGTGCTTCTGCTTTTAAAATTGAATTATCAATTTCAGTTGCATTTTCAAAATGTTTTAACGCCAATTCATAATCATAATTTCGTTCGCGAATTCCTGCAAGAGCAATTTGCGTTCTATGGAAATCTTCCCGCAAATTATGTGTTTCACATAATATTGCAGCTTTTTCCATTAAATCCACAGCTTCTTGATGATTTTTTTCAGCTTGTAATACCAAACCCAAATTTAACAACAATCGTGCTCTCATTGTAATTAATTCTTTCAATTCAATATCAGTATCTCCCAATCTAAATAAAACATAAATATATTATTTGTAATTTGCTTATATATATTTAATATTAAATTAATAAAAAAAATTAAAAAAAATATAACTCATTGCAAAGACGTATGCTCTTCATGTATACTTTTCTTGCATTTGTGAGAATATCAGTTTTTTTTTCGGATTTTTCAGGCAAACTTTCAGCCCAACAAAAATATGTTCTACCTAATGTTGCATAAGCTCTTTGTTCTTCTAATAAATTTTTTATATCCTTGGCTCCTTCTATCTAACAAAAAAACTTTTTATAATTATATAATTTTCTAATAATATAAATTTCTTTTATTAATTTCTTTTATTAATATGAACATTTTGAAAATATTTTATATTTATAATAAATATTTTAAACACAAACCCAAGTAAAAATTTTGATGTTTTAATGCTTCTTCATATGTACCAATATTTATATGAATTTCTCCAATCATTCTATGAGCTATTGCTATATTTAATTTATCTTCTAATATATTACAGATTTCCAACTGTTGTGTATACTCCTGTAAAGCTTCTTCATACTTGCTATTTTCAAAATATACAT